TATATATATGCACACACACATCTGACCTCAGACGCACATTTCGATCTGTATAAACAAAATTCAAATCTGGTCAGGTACCCCTTACATACAATTGTCCAATTCAAAACACCTGCACAGCCAAACCCTGTCGAATAATTCATCTCTTTATTATTGTTACGGCTTCACTTTTTTGCTTTACTTTGCATAAATAACACAGATATATAGACACATACACACACATGCAGAGAGAGAGAGAGAGAGAGAGAGAGAGAGAGAGAGAGAGAGAGAGAGAGAGAGAGAGAGAGAGAGAGAGAGAGACGAACATGGAACTTATCCGTTTTAATAACTTAGTTTATAATTCCAAATCACGTTTCTCGCTGCATTTGCTGTTATGCCAAATAGCATCATTGCAATGCAAACGTGACCCGAATTTGCAATATTCGTTTCCTGTTTTGATTACAATGAAGGGAACACTATTTGTATTTTTGTTTTGAGAATATCAACTGTTCCTTGATTTCACTTCAGTCTCAGCTATTGCAAAATCAAGGGCATGTGCTGGCACTTGTTATATGTTTATTCTGCAATGCATTGTACGACTGACTTGTTCCCATTGTAGTCCAAACACGAAAAGAATAATACATACATTTTCATGACCCTGGTAGGATTTTTACTGATTATTTATATTACCATGATTATAAAATTGTAAGAAATAAATTAAGCCTCTTTTTCGAGACCAACCAAAGGCTCAAATCAATTATTCGTTATTCGTTATTACTCTACTTGTTCGAGTTTGATTTAAATAGCATAGTTTGTAAAAAGACTAAATCAGTTAAATCTATTTTCTGGTTTGTTATTTATTATCTAAATGAGTCGATGACGATAAATATGATAGTTAAGATGACTGTGGTGGTGGCGGCGGTGACAATATTAAGGATGGCAATAATAATGATGGGTAATTATGATTATCACAGTTTTATTGATAATGATAATAATGATAATAATAATGGTAAAAATGATAGAAAGAAAGCAATAGTAATAATGATAATAATTATGATAATGATAATAAAATGATGATTATGATAATAGTGATAATAAAGACTGATAATAATGACAATGATAATAGCAATATTAATGAGGATATGATGATAATGATAATAGTAATAACAATAATGATAATCTTAATCGTAATCAATATTATCATAATTATAATCATAATGATTATGAGTATAATGATAGAAATAATTATAATAATAATAATTATGTAAAATAAAGATAATACAAAGTGGCGATTATTTGAATTAAGGATATATGAACAAGCAAGACCACACAAATGCAGAGATTTAGACATAATCATAATTTTTACTGATTATTTATATTTTTTTAAATTATAAAAACGTAAGAAATAAATAGTTACGACTCTTTTTCGAGACCAACCAAAGGCTCAAACAGATAAGTATTCGTTATTCTTATGATGTAGTGGAATAACTCTTGTACGAGTAAGATACGGATTAAATAATATAGTTTGTAGAGAATGTATTCTGTGCCTTGTTATGTATTATTGTAATTTACATTTGGGTTTGTGTGCATTTGGATACTAAGAAAGATAAATGAATGGATGATAATAATGACGATGATGATGGCGGTGGTGATAATAGTAATGGTGATAAGGATCAATATGATAGCAATAGTGATAATGATAATGATAAATATGAAAGCAATAGTTATAAAATAATAAATGCGATAAGCAATAGTAATAATGATAATGATAATAAAATGATGAAAATTGTAGTAATAATAATGACTGTAATAATAATGACAATGACAGTAGTAATGAAAATGATAATATAGTAGTAATAGCAATGGTGCTAATGATAATCGTTATAGGAATCATTATCATTATCCTTATTATAATTACAGTCATAATCATGATAAAAAAATAATGATAATAAAAAATAATAAGATTAAATTAACCCTAGGAGCCGATTCTTTGAGCAAAGGATTTATGAATAGGCAAGACCAAATAAATGCAGAGATCTAAACATAATCAACAGATGAAATGTCGGCTCTCGCGGTCTCTCTGCGATGTATATCAGCGTGAGTCCCAGCCGCCTCTCAGTAGTAGGTGAAAGTGCGTTGCGTGAGGACTTCTCGCGCTCGTCTGTCACTTTAGGTCGCTGCGTTGGTGCTGGTGTCGAGACTCTCTTGGTGAGCACTGTGTACCGGTGTTTTGTATGATCTGTATGCTGATGTATATCATCGGCCGGTTTGTTAATACTGTGCGAAGCCTGATCCAATTATTATGAATATGAATGTAGACAGACAAATGCATATCTGCCGGATAGATAGATAAATAAATGTATATCTATCAGATAGATAAAGAAATAAGCCTTTATTTGCATGTCTTTATGTATGAATATTCATTGGGTCGGGCCTCGCACAATTTTAACAAACGTCTCGCACACAGAATTTCAAGATGATTTCATAACTTAATGAAAGTGGTTAACATATGAACATATCACTAACCATTCATTAACAGTGAATACAGGACACCCTGTATGATAAGACGTTCATGTGTATGACGTTAAAATTCTGAACATGAGAATCAAATCACCCCCAAAACATATATCTCTTTGTGAGCAAATTCAGATAAAGATTTTTCATTATAGTTCAGATTTGTAGTGTATTAATTAAATCTTAGTTTTGTAACAAATATACACTTACACAGAGAGACGTGGCACCAAACAAAAAGCATAGAAGACAATAAACTACGGTTTGTGTAAGTTCAGTGTATCATTATTGTGTGCTTGATGGAATTATGAATAAACCAGATGTAGAGGAGTAGTAAAATATTCACAGGAACAGCTTCGCTAACTCAGTAATCTCTAGCTTTTTAGTCTCACCACAGACCATCGTTGGTGTTTTCTGTTTTATATGAATATTCAGTTTTCGTAAGGAATTTATGGTACTGCAAATCGCATATAACTGTTGACTGCTGATGTGATGAGGTGACTGAAAGATATTGCGCCGTTCTTCTCAGCATTTTGCCTCCCACCTCATAAGGTCTATTTGCAATCTATTAGTTAGGCGAACATGCAATATCGGTTATATGTTTCCTGTGCACCCTATAGTTTTGTGTATACTGCAACCCGTGTCTGAGTCGCTTATTTCTAAACCGTGTTCATTGCGACAAAATAATAAGACCAGATATCTTAATAGTGCTAATGTATCTGGCTCGCTTTTGTCTATAGTTAGAAATACATAATATTTTGACTAAGATATATATATGTGCGTGTGTGTTTCTATATTCAAATACCAGTGTGTGCGTGACCTTTCAGAACCATGAGAGTGTGCGTGCTGCTCCCCGCCCTCGCCCTCCTGTCACGGGCCAGCTGTCAGTGCCTCTCCTCCTCCGACACCTCGCCGCCCCCGCGGCTCCCGATTCTCAAGCGGACGACCCTTCAGCCTCGACTTACTCAGGAAGGCTCTCCCTCCGACGGGAACTTCTTCATCTCGCCCTTCAGCGTCTGGAGCGCCCTCGTCCTCGCCTACTTCGGCTCCCGAGGCAACACGAAGGCGGAGCTGGAGCAGTTTCTGCGGCTCACCAACAGGGAGGACACGCTCGCCCTGTTCAGGGCCCTCGAACGGCGGTGAGTGGGTTGACGCGATTAAACCTACCGAGTGAACCGTTAAGAGAGGTGGTAGGTAGATATATATATATATATATATATATATATATATATATATATATATATGTATGTTGTGTGTGTGTGTGATTCTGTGTGTGTTGTGTAAAACATTAACACAGTAACGTGTATACAAAAATTATAAAGAACAACAAAAATTTTTAAATTCATATTGTTGGTTTATTCATTTTCGTGTATATGTATATGTATATATTATATAGTATATATATATATATATATATATATATATATATATATATATATATATATAGAGAGAGAGAGAGAGAGAGAGAGAGAGAGAGAGAGAGAGAGAGAGATGGACATGAATACCTTGATGATAACAAAAAGGATCATGATTTTATAATGCAAGTAATAACATTATCAGATAATAATTTCTACTAAAATAACACGACTGCAGCTATGACTCCCAAGAAGCAAACCAGAACTACACCATCAACTCGGCTAACAGGATATACTTCGACCAGTCCATTCCCGTCCGAGAATGCGTGGGAAAAGTCCTCGACGACCAAGTGAAGTTAATAGACTTTAAGAAGGTAAGAAACACTTGGCTTAATTCTTATTTTCCTGCCTAACAGAAATGGGGAGACTTCATCACTGGTAATATCGCTGCATATCCAAAACTGGGATATCAGAACTCATGTAGTTACAGTTTCAAGGCTAAGTGAGGATACGAACATGTCTTTATATAAAAGCACAGAATGTAAGGAGGGTTATCTACATATCAATTTGTATTAGATTACTGCATAATGTATATACAGACAAATCTCTGTAACCTGGCATTATATTTAAATTTATGAAACATTTCCATCGAGTGGTTATGGGAATTCTCTGAGAATCCTGCTCTCTGTCCTTTAGTACGAGAAGACAGAAATATGAGCCGAGTCACAGATAAAACCCTCTAAGCCTTAAACGAAGTGAATCATTTCAAACCTTAGATATAGTTTAAACCTCGGGCACAATGACAAAGCCTTTAAGCTCCATACAGGAGGGCAGATCTTTTTAGCAGATTTACTTTCATCTTGAGTAACAGAAAAGCCTTCTGTGATTATTTATGTATGCAAAATTAACCAGATTCTTTTGTGCCTAAGCCATGATTTTAAAAATCTTATATGCATCTCTTTCAATCTTAGAAAAAAATCAATTTTAACACAGATACATTTCTATAAAAGTTCTCTTAAACTCCAGAGTCCGAAATAATCAAACCTGAATCTGCCATCAGCCCGACGCCGCCGCTGCTGACATCAATGCCTTCATCAACGCCGAAACGCGAGGAAAAATACCAAAGCTTATAGAACCCTCCTTTTTGAAAACGCTAAAATGTTCTTAACTAACGCCGTCTACTTCAAAGGCTTTTGGAAATACCCGTTCAAGCCTCAAAGGACCCACAAGGACAAGTTTTTCGTAACCCCGGAAGAGTCTGTCCAAGTGGATATGATGTCGCAAACGAAAAGGTTCAAATATGGTAATGTATGGAGTTCTCTTTTTATACAAAATGAACCTCCCTACCTTTCCTTGTGTCCAGTTTCCGTTGTTACATTTATTTTTCCATTTACTTTGCGTTTGTATCGATTTGTCGCAAATC